AGGCGACTTGAGGCACGAAGGCGAAACAGAAAAAACGCGAGAAGAGAAACAAGGGGCCCGATGAGACCGTGAAGGCTGGTGCGGGAATGGCAAGGACCCCCCCCGCACACCACACCACTAGGCACATCTTCCCCTTTCCAGCGCTTCCAACCTGCTCTGCTCGGCCCCCCTCTACCCCCTTCGCCCGGCTGCTATAACTGTCGTTTGTGTGGCTGCAGCTCGCCATGTTCACCATCATGCTGCTTGTTATGCGGTGGCGAAGGCATAGAACCAGAGGAAGGAGGGGAATCAGGAGGGCGAGGATGATATATTGAGGAGCGATCGTCGCCTGAGGAAATATTGAAGAGGAGGAGGAGGAGGAGGAGGAGGAGGAGGAGGAGGAGAAGCAGAAGGAGGAGGAGGAGGAAGAGGAGTAGGAGGAGGAGGAGGAGGAGGAGGAGGAGAGGAGGAGGAGGAGGATCAGCATGGGGAAAGCGGGTCCTGAGCGAAATGAGTCCTGGACCGGTGCCATCTCCCAGGGCGAATTTTTCATTCTGAATCGTTTTCTGGCAGTCCCAGGGCCCGTGGAGAGCCCTGACAACCCGAAAGCGTAGAAAAACCTCAGGACCAGTTTCCCTCATGACCCGCTTCCCCCATGGCGAGAGGAGGAGGAGGAGGAGGAGAAGGAGGAGGAGGAGGAGGAGGAGCAGGAGGAGGAGGACGAGGAAGAGGAGGAGGAGGAGAAGGAGGAGGAGGAGCAGGAGGAGGAGGAAGAGGAGGAGGACCAGTGTAAACCCAAGAGTCATTAACGACATTGGAATAAACCCTTCCTCGAAACTCCCTCTTCATAGTCCCCTACAAGAGTTCATCTTCACTGGGGGAACTGCCTCGTTGGAAGACAACCGTTCGAAGACCCTGAAGCATGTCAAAACAGAACATTGTTCTCGGGACTCCAACGCCACGGATCAACCTGACTGTTGAATCTTGACGATCCTGAATCGTGCCAGAACGCCATTTCTGGGACTTCAACACCGCGAATCAACGTAACTGTTGCGCCCTTATAATCCTGCGTCTTTCCGACACATGATTTCCGGTACGTTGACCGTGAGAATCAGTGAAACTCCTTCGAATTCTTAAGACGAGTGTGCGCGACGCCAAGGCGAGAACCACATTTTGAAAACCAGCCGCCCTCCATCTGTGAAGCTCTGTCAAATGTTTAAAACGAATGTGGGCGGCCATATGGCGAGAGCCACAGTTTGAAAACGAACAGCCTTCGTGAAACCCTTGCAATTTTCTAGAACGAATGTGCGCGGCGCTAAGGCGAGAGCATTATTTGGAATACGGGCCGTCCTCAATCTGTACAACTCTTGCAAATGTTTAAAACGAATGTGCGCGGAGCTAAGGCGAGAGCTACAGTTTGAAAACGAACCGCCTTCGTGAAACCCTTGAAATTTTCTAGAATGAATGTGCGCGGCGCTAAGGCGAGAGCCTTATTTTGAATACGGGCCGTCCTCAGTCTGTACAACTCTTGCACATGTTTAAAGCGAATGTTTCAAACCTATGTGCGCGGAGCTAAGGCGAGAGTCACAGTTTGAAAAGTTGCCAATGTCTAAACATTCAGAATCATGAATGGTGAGGAAGTCTCAGGCGAAACGCCTGGCCCGCCCTTTCGACCGGCCTCGGGGTGTGACAGGGAGAAATTATTTGTAAGGAAACGGAATGGAGGAGGGGGAGAGGGAGGAGGAGGGGGAGGAGGAGGAGGAGTAGGAGGAGGAGGAGGAGAGAAGGAGGAGGAGGAGAAGAGGAGAAGGAGGAGGAGGAGGAGGAGGGGGAGGAGGAAGAGGACGAGGAGGGGAAGGAGGAGGAGAAGGAGGAGAAGGAGGAGGAGAAGGAGGAGGAGAGAGGAGGAGAAGGAGGAGGAGGAGGACGAGGAGGAGGTGGAGGAGGAGGAGGTGGAGGAGGAGGAGGAGGAGCAGGAGCAGGAGCAGTACAAACGGTTTCCCTGCCAGGCCAGAGGCTGCACGACGGCCCCAAGGGCGCACCGAGCCGGCCGCGCGCAGGCCGCGCAGGCTGCGGCGCGCCCGCCGCGCGCGCCGGCCGCCGAAGGCCGCGGCGCCACCCGCGCCGCGCTCGCTCGGCCAATGCGCGGGCGCCCCTGCGAGGCGCACGGCGCTGCGGGCCGAGGCTGCGTCCCGCCGACCCGCCTCACACGAGGAGGAAGCGGTACCCCTGCCGCTGCCCTTCCCTCTCGTCTTTCCCCACTTTTGGGCCTCCTGTGAGGCCCTTGTCGCCACCGCTGGATTCACTTCGCAATTCTGGTCCGAACGCTCCCCGGGAGAGGTCTGGGGAATAGTGGTATCAGTAGTTTGTGTGGAGCAGGGGCCGACCGTCCCGGCTTTCCTGTGGGCGTACCACGACATCCCACCAGCCCTTCAGGGCATAGGTGGCTTAGGGAGCTCCCTCTTCCACCCTCCCTCTTCCCCTTCGGGGAGGGGTGTATCACTGCTCCCTATAACAGACACCCCCTCCCCTACCCGGCGGGCAGCCAACCCGGAACCATGCCAACCCCATGCGGGCCACCCCCCCCGCACCATCCCTATCGAAAAACAAATCAAAACGCACTCTGCCTCCACATTTGGAGCATGCGCGGCCACCCCGATGGGCCCCCCCTCACTATCCCTGTCAAAAAGCAATGCACATGATTTTTTTTGGCAAAGTCTTGAGTCATGTTCGTGAGGCCCGCGAACACTTTGTATTGTTTTGACAGCGACGGCGGGGGTGTCAACATACTCTCAGCTGTGCGCAGGGCTACCATCCTGGACAAAACATACAGAATGCACCTCGCGACTAAATGTGGATCGTGCGAGGCCACCCCGCGATCACTGTCAAGTGGTTTTTGACAGGGACGGCGGGGGTGGTGGCGCGTGGCCTGCTGAGCGCAGGCCCCTCGGACACAATGATGGGCTTTGGTTTTCGACAGGGATGGTGGGGGCCGACATGTTTCCCGATGCGTACTGACACGTGCGCAGGCGCACCTGACGCACTCGGCACGTGTCCCGAACGTGGCGCACCTGGGGCGGCTGGAGTGTGCGGCACACCCGGCGCACTCGGAACACGTGGCGCATCTGGCGCACCAGGCCTGCCTGGCACGCTCGGGCCCCAGGGGTGCCTGGCGCGCGTGGCGCCCCTGGCCCGCGCGGCGCACCTCGCCCCAGCGTCGCGCACACAGGGTCGGCTTTGGTTCCCAATAGCTGCCCATCCAAAGACGACCGCTGAACATGCTGAGCCTCGGGTGTTACTCATGCGTTGGGAGGGCGGGTGGCAGTGAGCTAGACGGCTTGCCGGCGGGTGGGTGTCTTGACCCCTCCCCCTACCCCCTCCCCTGGACTTGGACGGGGGGTTCCGCGGGTAGTTGGAGCGTCCAAAGCGGCCTCGGCGAGGAAGTGGCCTCCTGGGGGGGAGAGGCTGATTAGGGACCCCCCCTTCTTTGGTCGATCTCCTCCGAGATGGCCCCAAGAGCGCTTCCAAAGCTCCCAAGGGTGCCCAGAGAGGGCCTCAAGAGGGCCCCAAGAGGTGGCCAGGAGGCCCCAAGAGGCCCCCATAGGCACCCAGGATGCTCCCAAGAGGCTCCCAAGAGACCCCCTAAGAGGCCCCCAAGAGGCACCCAAGACGCTCCAAGAGGCCTCGGCGAAATGCCCAAACCATGGATTGATTAAGATTTTGGCCACATGTTGGCCTCCTGGAGGGGGGGGGGGAGCACTGATGAAGATGACCCCAAGAGCGCCCGGGAGAGCCCAAGATGACCTCCAAAATGGCTCAAGATATCCCAAGATGCCTCAAGATGGCTCTCACAATGCTCCAAGAGGCCCCAAGACCGCACCAAGACGGCTTCAAGTGGCCAAAGAGCTCCCCCAGGAGGCCCCGAAGAGGCCAAACTACTTCCAAAACCTTCGGGAAATCAATATTTTTGGCTTTCTCGCCTTTTCGCTTCCGATGGCCATCCGAGGCCTCACGATGGCTCCAAGATGGCCCAAGAGGGCTCCAAGAGAGGCTCAAGAGAGCCCCAAGACGGCCCCAAGAGCGCCCAATAGCGCTCCAAGAGCGTCCCAAGAGCGTCCCAAGAGGCGACTTTTTGGGCTCCCGAGAGGCAATGCTAATTCATGCTCCCCTATTGTTTGATCGATGTCCTCCAAGATGGCCCCAAGAGAGCGTTTCAAGAGGGTCCCAAGAGGCGCCCAGAAGGCCCCAACAGGCGCCCAAGAGGCCTCCAATAGGCTCCCAAGAGACCCCCAGGAGGCCCCAAGACGCTCTCCGAGGCACCCAAGACACTCTAAGAGGCGTCCTGGACCGCCAGGAGGCCCCCAAGATGCTCCAAGAGGCCTCCACTGGGGGACCCTTCCTCTGTGCTGCCCGCTTCCCTGATCGAGGCAATTCCTCTGGGCATCGATTCTGGATGGGCTGGTGGGGTTACGCTAAGCGTCTAAAATATTCGGAGAACAGCAAATCGTCGAATAACGAAAAGCGGTGCTCTTAGAACATCGGCACGACGTACCAAAACAAGACGGTCTCAACCAGACATGTTCCGAGAATGCTTCGCGCGAGTCACAAACCAGTTTCTCAACACACTTCTTGGTGCGCATCTACGCAAGCCAGGATGCTTCGCCACTGCTTGATTTGGGGCCTCCCAGCCTCGGCGCGGCCCCGCAAAGGAGGCGTGCTTGCAGAAGGCGCCTCGAGCTCGCAAGGCCCTCGGCCGCTCTGGCGCGGCGCCGCGCCGGGGCGGCGCCCGGGCGGCGCCCGAGGCCTGGGCCCCCCCCTGCGGGGCGGCACGCCCTCCGCGGAGGCCTCGCCGCCGCGGCTGGGGCCGCCGTGCTGCCGCGGCCGCCGCCGCGTGGCGCCAGACTCCGGGGCGGGCCGCGGCGTGCGCGGCAGGGCACGCTCGGCGAGGAGGCCGCGCGGGCGCCGCCCACGCCGCAGGGCCGCGAGCTCTGCGCCCGCGCTCCGCGGAGGCCCCCGGCCGTTCACGCACGGGGGCCGCCCGCGCCCCCGGCGCCGGGGCCCCGCTGCGAGGTCACGGCGCCCAGCTCGAGGGTGTAGGCCATCACCTCCTGCGGGGCCGCGCGCGCGGCCGGGGCGGCGCCCTCCCTGGTCGGAGGAGGAGACTGGGCCACCGCACCGCCACCGAGACACCCCTGAGGTCCAATACCCTGTGGTAGCCAGCCTCGAACTTATCCCTGTTCCTCAGGTCGGCAAGCCCAAGGCGATGACAATCTTAGGGGTGTGCCCCAAGAAGCTGAACGATCGGCACCGAGGCACGGCGATGCCAAACATAGGGATAGGGATGTGTTTCGAGTTGGTCGTGTCGGAGCAGGGGAGCCCCCGGGGAGAGGACCGGCAAGGAGATTCAAGCCCGAGCAGCTCCCACCTCGCCCTGACAATTCCCACGGGCTCCTCACTCCGCCTGGGGGTCGGCGGCATGGCGCACGCCCTCTTGAGCATGGACCACCGCCACCGAGAACCCATCGGTGAGGGGCCGACCCCCTGGGGGGTGGCACGCCAACGAGCGGCACCCGGCACAGGACTCGGTCTCACGCTGGCACGGATCGGGAAAGGGCCTCCCGCCACATGATGCCCATGCCGCCTCACCTGGCGACGGCGCGCGCCGCTTCCGCATGGAAGCGGGACCCGTCGCGAGTCCGTGCGCCTCAACCTATGTCAGCGTTCCATCGGAGGGCGGCGCTCGGGCGCGCCACCGCCCGCCCAAGGGTCGGCCCCGCCCCGATGGGTTCTCGGCGACGCTGGCCCGTGGATCTCCTCTGACCATGGAGACGCGCGCCTCGCCGTGCGCAGGGCCCTCGGCTCCCTCTGAGATCTGGGCGCCACCACTTTTTCGTACTGGCCGGGGGTTGCTGAAGGTGCCCCCTGGCCCCTGCCCCCAGCTCTTCGCTCCATTTTGGAGCCCCTGGGGCCCTCTCTGGGCCTCGCAAGGGGGTGCAATGGGGTACTCTGGAAGCCGTGGGGGCCTCCTTGGAAATCCTTGGGCCGGGGGCACTTCCAGGGCCAGGAGCATCTCCAGCAACATCCGAAACCCGCGTTTTTCGCCTTGCCTCGGGCTGCGGGGCCATCACATATCGATCTGGCTCGGACGGAGCCGTAGAGACATGACCCTAAGATCCGACGTTGCAAACAAATTGGAACATCGCAAGGAATCACGACCGGAGCCCTGTACCCCATCGTTCTGCGGCATTTTTCGGGCGGGATCGAGCTGTGAAGGCCCGAGGGCCCGAAACCTTCCGAGAACGCCCGGCTCGAAATAATTGAAACGCCAGGATCTCAGGGGAAGCTCGGGGTTCCTGTAGTGTTTTTTCGCGATCTTGTGCTCTTGGCTCGCAGCGGCGGATCTCGGGGCCGAGAGAGCCGCGGAGCACAGGGGGGAAGAGCAAGCTTTTCGTCGTCCTCGGCCTCCAGGAGGCGGCCAAACCACCCGGCCCCGGGGTTATCAACAAAACGACTCGGGATGAGGTGCCAGCCCCGGGGGGAAGGTCCAGACCTTTGGGGGCCCTCGCCACGGGGGAAGCGGGTCCTGACTCCTCCTCATTCTCTTCCTGCTCCTCCTCCTCCTTCTCCTCCTTCTCCTGCTCCTTTTCCTCCTCCTCCTCCTTCTCCTCCTCCCCCTCCTCCTCCTCCTCCTCCTCCTCCTCCTCCACCACCACCACCACCTCCACCTCCACCTCCACCTTCACCTCCTCCTCCTCCTCCTCCTTTTTTTCCTCCTCCTCCTCTTCCCCCTTCGTCGTCCTCCTCCTTTTCCTTTTCCTCCTCCTCCTCCTTCTCCTCCTTGTTTCAATGGCTTTCTCATCACTCCGTCGGACTACGCCCGGGGCTGGCGCACATGGAATATAATATCAAATATGCTGGAGCATGGACTCCTGGACCACCATTCGCCCCGCTTCACGGGGCAATCCAGTGGCCACGGCTTCGAAACGTGGTGGCCTCGCGGCCACGGCATATTGCTTGCCAACAGCTGTCTGCGTTGCTGAGCAAAAACTTTCAAGCATGGGGCTTCCAAGGTACAAGCTGGGCCCGTGGTGTAGACCCACATCTCACGCACAGTACAACAGGGTGCCCCGACTGGATGATTCTACAAACCTACAGCTTGCGGGGGGGCGGTGCCGCAACGTCCTTGACCTTTACCAGGGACGCAGTTAATGCCGCACAGGCACCCCTCGCACATTTATTCTGGAAGCTCTTCGTACACCTAATGCACCGCCACATAGAGCCGTTCCACAAAACACGGTGAGAGCGCTTACTGACGGCCACATTCGGGTCAAGAGACTCATCAACATTTTTATTAAGGCTTTTCCGAAAAATCTTAGGCCCTGGGAGCTTCCGTGAACACCCCAAACATTCCTACAGCCACCTCCATCCACCCAACTAGCATCACCTCATATCGGGAAGCGGTCTCAAGAGCGTTTGGGGGTGTAGTTTAGCTCCGTCTTTAGCAAATTCGCCAGTTCGGTCACTTCCTTTGTTTGCGTCGACCTGCCACGCCGCCCATGTTTTCAGCGACGTGGCTCTTCACCTTGTGCACCCTCCAAGGAGGAAACACACAACCTAGGAGAGACCGCCAAACTTCTGCCAGCAAGCTGGGTCCCGAGGTTGCCTGCCAAATGCACTCGACATACATGAGGCTCTTACAATCAACGTGAATGACAAACTCGACATCGGGGTCGGTCTCGGAGGATTCGGGCGAGAGTTGAAGCATGGCCTGCCTGCGCGCGAGCAGAGACTTCATTCGCTTCTCGTCAAAGTGCGGGCACTCGAAGGCGCGGTACCACACATCGACTCCTCTGCTTCTAGCAACCTCTGACCATGTAGCTTGTGTTCTTGAGCGAGTGCTATAGGAGCTTCACACTCTTTTGTTTAGGCGGTTGCTGACGTCCAGCTATTCGCATTGACGGTGGGGATCAGCAGTTCCTCCCTCTGGGCTAAAGACGGCGAGCGGTGTGCCGCAGCCGCCGCAGCTGCTTCACCCCCCTCCTCGCCTCTCGCCTCGCCTTCTGCTCGCTACGTCCCTCGGCGGTCTCGTCTGCTGGGCGCCGCCCTGCCAGAGTCAGCTGTAGCATCGCGACGTCGCCCTCAGTACTCTTCGCGTTGGCCGCTGCCTCCTCGAGCTGGCTAGGTGCGTGCTGAGCCGCACCTGCCTCTGTCATCTCGCCAACCTGTGTGCGCGCTGCAGAACTCGAGGCCACCCCCGCGCGCTAACGGATCTGCTCTGCGAGCTGCTGCATGGGATCCCACAAGCTCTTCATGAGTGCTGGGTCCAGGCCCATGCTATGAACATTCATACTGTTCAAGACAGCCTGCGCATCCATCTGGCCCTTGCCGCCGAACTGACTGAGAGCTCCAATGGCCATGCCTTTCCCTGCAATCACAGGCGGCGGCAATCATGGTGCGCCTTGGTACAGGTCTCCTAGAACTGGGATCCGTAGAGGCTGCACCTTCATTTCCAATTTCAGCTTGGTAGCTCGAGCTGTCTCCAGGTCTGCCTGCACTAGGGCTCGTTGGACCTCCAGATCATCCAAAACTCCCCCTTGCTTGTCGAAAGACTAATTCTGCATCCCCAACTGCCTTTGGGCTCGTTCAACTTTTCGAACTGGGCCTGGTCCATAGCTTCTTCCGCTAATGCCAAGGCCGCGCACTCCTGTTTTGAATACAGGGCCTTCGGCGTGTCCAGGGAACTCTGGAGCTTCAGGATCTGCGGCTTGCCTTTGCTCGTTGAATCCTTCTTGCCACCGCTGCTCTGATTTGATGGCTGGCTGCCTGCGTCACTCCCAGCTGGCTCTGCCTGCCAATGAGCGCCGCACCGCCCGCACAATTGATGCTGAAGACACACTTGTGCCGAACAGCTCTGGCAAATCCATGAGTATCACAATGCGCCTCCTGGCTGGTTCTGCGTCGGGCTGGCATTCTTGTCCCTGCTCTTGCCACTCCCGCCGCTCTGGCCCTTCAGGGCCTTGCCCTTGCCAGCCGCACCTCGCCCCATGCTCGCTGGGACTGTTGTGCTGAGAGAAAAGATGGACGCCCGCCGACGGTAAGGCTGGTGGGTCAGAAAAAAGCGCCTGGCGCTGTGCCACGTCGAGCCCTGGCCCCACACTCTGAGGGAGGTGGGAGATGGCTTGAGCCAGGGGGGCTACGGACCTCCTCCTCCTCCTTCTCCTCCTCCTCTCCCTTCTCTTCCTCCTCGTCCTCCTCCACCTTCTCATCCTCTTCCTCCTCCTCCTCCTCCTCCTCCTCGTCCTTCTCCTCCTCGTCCTCCTGCTCCTCTCCCTCCTACTCCTCCCCTCCCCCTCCTCCTCCTCCTCCTCCTGCTCCTCCAGCTTCTCCTCCTCCTCATCCTCTTAGTCCTCGTCCGCGTCCTTTTTTACACACAGGATTCCGGGGAGTTGGGTTTCCGCTAATTTTTTTCAATATGTTGCTCCCGCTGAAGCGCTGGCCTCATTTTCGAGCTTCCGCTCGTTCCGAATCGTGCCCCCGCTGCATCGCCGGCCTCATTTCTGCGCTTCCGCTCGTTCCGAATCGTGCTCCCGCTGCAACGCTTGCCTCCTGTCCGCACTTCCGCTCGTTCCGAATCGTGCTCCCGCTGCAGCGCTGGCGTCATTATTTCCAGTGCCATGCCACGGCATGCAATGAAATGCTATGTGGTGTTCCGCTGTGCGATGCCATGCCTTCAGCTGCAATGCTAGGATATTCAGTGCTTGACTAGGTAGTGCCACGCCATGCTATGCCATACTACGCTTTGATCTTCAAAGCCTTGCTATGCCATGTTCTGTTCTGTGTCGCTATGCGATGCCATTCTTTGCGTTGCAATGCTTTGCGATGCAAGTCTCCACCTCGCAACACCACGCAATGCTATGGCATACTACGCTCTGCCGTGCTCTCTACGCCCTGCCATGCCGTGCTCTACGATGCATCGCGCACCCTCTCGGGATCATTGCCCTGCTCGACATCCGACTGTGCCATGGTAAAGGATGGGAAGGAGGGGTAGGACGTCAGATATGACGCGAGCGCACCTGACATGATGGGGTAGGACGTCAGGTATGAATGT